GTCTATGTGTTGAAAAGTGAGGTAAGGGATAGAGAAATCAACTTGAATGGGACCCAAAGTTCTTAGCCAAGACATGCCTAGAACAATATCAGCTCCTTCTATAGGTAATAAATAGAAAGGTAGGGTGAAAGGTTTATTTTGAAGGACAATTTAAACATTGTTGCATATGCCTTCACACTGTAAATGGGAATTGTTTCCAACCATAACTGAAAAATTGGTTAATTAGGGTAGTTTTAAGGTTTAGGTTATGCACAATGTGCGACTTCATAATGTTGTGAGTACGTCGGTGTCCACGAGTACCATAACAGTTAGGCCACCAATTAAACCGTTAAATTTAAGGGTTTGTGGGGAAAATTGCCCCGTCAAGGCTTGGGGAGAAAGCTGGAAATAAGCACCCCCAATGGTTCAATTACTAGGTTATATGTTGTTATTATTAACTTCAAGTTGTTCCTCCAGCTCGACATCTTCAGCCAATAGTATTAAGAATCTTCTTGTGGAACATTTGTGACCCGTGATGAACTTTTCATCATAATTAAAACATAAACCTTGAGCTCTTCTCTCTTGCAATTGAACTTGGGTTAGTTGGCAAATGTGTAATTTGGTAGTGGGAGCGGTGGGGGTGTTTAGGTTGGCTAGGGTGTTTTTGGTAGTAGTTTGTTGTGTTTTGATGGGTTGAGTACTCGAAGAGTAAGGGTTTTGCTTTTGGTAGTGGGCTGAAAATGGTTTTGAGAGTTTGGGCTTTGAATCTTTAAGTTTGGATTTGATTAATTTGGCAAGGCCAGTGGCTTGTGAAATATAAGTAGGCTTATGTATTGAGATTTCATTACGAATTTCAGGAACGAGGCTTGAAATAAAACAATTTAAAATAGCCTCTTGAGGCAGGCCAACAACTTGATTTCCCAATTGCTCAAACTTGGTTTTGTATTCCATAACTGACCCATATTGTTTCAATTGAAATAACCCAGCTTAATGATTTTCATAAGTGGATGAACCAAATCTTAACTCTAAAGCCTTATTAAAAGCAAACCAATTAGTTAAAAGTTGATTTTGATGCACCCATTTGTACCAGCATATAACATCCCCTTTCATGTAAAATGAAATCAAAGATAAACGATTTTTCGGTGGTAAATTATAAAAACTGAAAAACTAATTAGGTTGAAATAACCATTCCAAGAGATTAGATCCATCAAAAACAACTAGTTTAAGTTTAGGAGATCGAAATGGGGGTAATGGGGGTATTTGTAGGATTTGTTGGTATTGTTGTTGGTAGGTAAAATGGAGATTACAATTCTGGTTTGGGATAACTGCTAATTGTGTGTGTATAAAAGGTGGATATGGCAGAAAAGGTGGTGGTGGTGGGCGACTTTAAGGTGTGGTGGTGGAAGTGTGACGGTTGTGATGAATGGTGGTCTGGTTACGATAGTGTGGGTGGGTGTAAATGTATAGGTGGTTGAGTTTCATAAAGGGGTATGAGGTGGAGTTGAAACCATGGAAACAGGTGGATGAGTTATAGAGGATGAAGGAGGAGTGGGTAATACCTAAATAGTTTGCAGCGGACAAACTTGAGGCGGCTTGAGGTTGTTCCCTTATATTAACAAGCTATTGGAGAATCGTCATGACAAATTCGTGGCGAGAATCTGTAATGTGTTTTTCCTTGTCGAAACGAGTATGAAGTTCTCCAACTTGTTGCGCTAGATCTGAAGCTGCTAGGTCAAACCTTTCATCCAATTGTTGTTGTTGTTCTTGTATAACATTATTCAAATGAATCTGAGCAATGTTAACAGCTTCTTCCACAACGTCTTTAGAAGAAAGGTTGGTAGGTTTTGGGGGAGCCATGAGTTCAAGAGAAGGAAAGCACCAATGATAGAATATATTAGGTTAACTATAAATCTAGGAATTGCATAAAAAGACAATAAGATAAAACAACTTTTTTCACTACTACAAACAGCCAACATACATGATATATGTAGTGGGGTTTTAGCTTCACTAATTAGGTCAACCGAAACATGGGCCAAATTGCCCTAAAACATAAATCCCAAAAGGCAAACGAAAATACTAAATATACCATTAAAAATACTAAATGCATTAATTAATTTAAAATAAAATCCTTCAAACGTGTTGATCTCTTCTTCTCCTTATTGGGCCTTGCAATCTTCATATCAGTAAACTGCCTAAGAATGAGTATAACTACCTATATAGTAATATTTCTTATAGAACCCAATGTTCCTATTTCGTAATGCATGTAGAGAAAATAAAATAAAAACACTTGGTTTGAAAAACTTATCAGATGTGTAGTTGAAGTTGAAGCACTTGGTTTGAAAAACTTATCAGATGTGTAGTTGAAGTTGAAACATTTGGATTGAATGGATGTTGAGAATTGATAAATCACTTGGATTGAATGGAGTAGAAAATCAACTTAGATTAAATGGGGTAGAAAATACACACTTAATATAGAAGCTTGAGAAGTGATTGAGAGTGATTTTGTTGAAAATGAGAAATAGGGTGGTCTAGTGCGTATTTGACACAAACTCTGTTTGAAGGTATATTTTCATAAATTTTACGAGATGCAACAATGTACTAGTTTTTAACAAAATGAGAAAGTGGCTCACTTACGAATAAATGGAATGTAGAAAACGGTGCGTTCGAAAATGCATCTTTAAATTCCATGGATATTTTTTATTTTTCACAAGGGTGTATAGCACCACTAGAGGGGTGAGAAAAGTAATGCCTATTATTATTATTTGGATACAAAACCCATTTATTACAGATTATTTGAGTTTTTTTAGCTAAATAATCTCTAAATACACAAATAAAATTCTTTTTTATTTAAAAATCTCTAAACCACTTAATCATATCACTTTTATAGCTGCCGCATCTTATCTGTTACTTTCCTTCCCTTGTATAGACAAACAACAACAACAACAACACGCAGAACTTCTTCTCAATCCAATCTTTCTTCTTGCTTTCTACCACGCATATCTGCCATTAATACACAAACATGCACTCCTTAACATGCTTACCACTTTCTTCTCCTCCATCTATATCATCTCTAAAGCCAAACCACTACAACAATCCTTTATTCAATGCAACTTCAAGAAAAACCTGTTTTACCACCAAAGCATTACTCTCATCAACTAAAGAATCTATCCTCAAGGATTTTCGCGAAAGAACAGCTCTTAAGGTAAACTATAACCATGCAAAACCCATTTCATTTGTTTTCTTTACCATAATTGTTGATAAATATTTGGCTTCTTTTGAAGATTATCACAGGCTTGCAGAATTTTGATAAAGATAATGTTGCTTTTGTTGTTACTGCAGCAGAAAAGGTTCTTTACTTCTCACTTTCTACATCGTTTTGATGATTAGCAGTACTCTAGTATTTGTGAATTGAGAATGAGTTTGTTCTGTCATCACTTTGCAGGGAGGAGCAACTCATGTCGATATAGCATGCGACCCGGAATTGGTGAAGCTAGCTATCAGCCTAACTTCTTGTCCGGTATATTATTGTTAGAAAATAAATATATGCAGTTAACACATCAAGCGGATTTCGACCATCTGATCTAAATCAATGGTCGAGATTTCTTAAAATTGGTTTATCTATGTATATTCGAAACTGTTTCACTCAAATCAGTAGCAAGTTTGGTTTATGCAAGAGACAACAATTTATGACTCGTTGCTCTTGCAGGTTTGTGTTTCTTCTGTAAATCCTGCATCATTTCCAGCTGCAGTTGAAGCAGGAGCACTAATGGTTTGACTCTTTTGTCTAGCTACATTTCAAATATCAGTTCTAATTTCTTACTCTAGTTAAAGATGAATTTAAAATTGGACCTTATGAGATTTTTCCTTTAACATAATATTGCATTGGCAGGTTGAGATTGGAAATTATGATTCATTCTATGACAAGGGAATAATTTTTACTGCAGAGCAGGTAAAGAGTGGTTCTGTATTCATGACAGTCACTAAAACTTAATTAAGGAACACAAAATGCAATAATGTACACTTGGTTTTTTGTTTTTTCATGATCTATCTTTCAATGCAGATATTGAGTCTAACAAAAGAGACGAGGAGAATACTTCCATCGGTAGTTTTGTCGGTCACCGTTCCTCACACACTAAGCCTCCCTGATCAGGTTACAAACAGAAGTGCAATTTTTTGCAGATAGTATCAATATTTTCATAGTATGAATAAACAAAATATATAAAACTTTTACAGGTCAAACTTGCAGAGTTACTAGAACTAGAAGGTGTAGATATTATTCAAACTGAGGGAGGAAAATGTTCCAATCCTACAAAGTCCGGTGTTCTAGGTTTGATTGAGAAGGTAAACAGAAAATATGATTGAGAATATTAAGGTCAACAGAAAAATGGTTATCAAAATTCTAATCACCGGTTATTGTAGGCAACACCAACTTTAGCGGCTGCGTATTCTATATCACGAGCAGTTAAGATACCTGTCATGTGTTCATCTGGGCTAAGTGCTGTCACAGCACCTATGGCTATCACTGCTGGAGCTTCTGGTGTGGTAAGGACTTTTGTTATATCTCTTCCCAATTAAAGCTTTCTAGTACTACACCTTTCTGGCAGAAAGTTATTGATCATTGACTTCGGTTCGGTGTATATCCAAATCACAGGGTGTGGGCTCTGCAGTTAACCGACTAAATGACGTGGTTGCCATGATTGCTGAGGTCAGAAGCATTGCTGATTCATTGAAGACATCATTTCAGACGCGTGAAGTGGAAACTTATAGACAGTAGCTCAATATATGTAGAAAGGATCGAGTTAAGTTGTTGTAGGCAGTGAATAAAACATGGGTCTTTTTCTATTTTAGACTTTTGTCGTAGTTCTCGTTTGTGTGAGGAAAATATTATAAGCAAAAAAATTATAACTATTCACAAAAGCAAACAAGAGTTGTGACTACAACTGAATATACAACTTTAAGTCCTCAAGTAGTTTCAATTAATACAGGTGAAGCCTTATAAGCAAGACAACGAATACATAGTTTTACTCGTCATACTCTGACTCCTCATCAGTTTCTTCATAATCACCGCTTTCCTGAAAAGCATCAGAAAACAAATTCTAATAACTGGCCAAATAAGAGTCAGTTTCCAAGCCATGAATATGACAGATTGGTTACCATTTTCTTGTTATACTCTGTTGTTGCTCTATCAAATTCTGCACGTTTTTCCGTTGCTATATCATAGTATTGAACCTTCTCCTGTCAGATACCAGTTTGGTTAACATAGAGCTCAACCAAAGATATGTTTCTTTTTTCGTCAGATCAAATTGAACAAAATATATGAACAACTCTACTTTCCCAGGTGAGTAAACACGAAACAAACTTGAAAAAATAAAATAAATGACAAAAAGCTTAGCAGTAGCACATCAAAAGCTGTTAACTCCATGTGCCTCAATCGAAGGTCACACTCCACATTGAATGCCATTTTAGAAAACTGGTTTGAACCCTTTTTTTTTTTTTTTTTCATTTTTTCATTTCGATATTTTTTCTGATTTCACGATGATTGCAAACACACAAACCGGGCGTTATCAGGTCTAATGAAGAACTAAATTACTAAACCAACAAAACATTAAAATCGAAAAAATTATCTATCCCTTGTTCAAACAAGAAACTAAAGATCATTTCAGCCTGGAATTCCAACCAGAGAAGATAGTTTTGCAACTTTTGCATCACAGTAGCTTAATTTCAAAAGTTTACATAACCTAGAAGTTCCATAGTCATAATGAATTCTGAACGTTTCTAAATATAATAATTTTGTTCTTCACGAGTTTTGTTCAAAATTTAACTCACCCATATTCAAACAAGTCATCATCAAGACATAATTCAGCCAAATTAAAAACATAAATAGTTTTGACGAAATTCCCGGAGCCAATGTTTGAAACTTCAATTTATGATTCACTCATTTTTCTGCCATCAAACATCGCAACCATAATAACACAATTCGGGGATAAACATGCAACGGAGAAGTACAAAGGAAAAATAACCTCATAAGTCATTGTTTTCCACTTATCTCCACATGCCTTGCCAACCTATATGAACACAGGAAGGAGGAAAACAAAAAAAAATATATTACTATGCATAATGATGAAGATAAATAATAATAATAACAATAATAATAAGTAATAATAATAGCGATGATGATGATGATATTTACACAATCTCTCGAACTATAAAATAACAGGTAGTTTTTTTTAAAAGTGGAGCTAACTAAATGTTTGAGTTGTTTATGTTTAATGGTGAAAATTTTAAGTGATTAATTGTGCAACAATCTTAATTGAAGAGGAATTAAAAGTATAAAATAAATTAGACGAAATATTAATACGAAGGGTTCTATACATACATCACGCATTGACTTTACATCTGGGTTCTGCTCTTGAAAGTCTTTCCGAAAATCCTCCCTTAAGAATGAAAAAGAACTTTCAGGTAATGTTGAAGCATTGAAAGAGTTTCCAAAAGATAAGAACTAAACAAGAATGGGAGACAAAAGAAGTTTTACAAGAAGTAGAAGAAAGCAGTGGGGGGTTTCTTGGGCTTCTTAGCATCAATCTTATGTTTGTTCTTTCTTTGCTTTGCTTTGGTTATCTCTCTTGACTTAGTCTGCCGCACGGATCTCTTAATTCCCCTCAACACTAGGTTGCTGAAAAACTCAATGCAGGATTGTGTTTAGTTAAGGAAACTTAATTCCCCACAGCCCTAGCAAAAGCTAGGAACGGTTAAAATTCGCATGACGCCATCATTTTACTCAGTTTCAGGTCTAAAGACTTTCCTATTAACAGTTATTACATGTTGAATTGAAGGGGAAACCCCAATCCTAAAGTGAATAAGCATTAAATACACTTGTTTCGGCAACATTTGGACCCAATTTTGAGAGAATGGAGTGTATAGAAAAATCATTACCGTTATTTCTTATGGGTTATCCAATAGGGAGTGTATAGAAAGTGAATGGAAGCGAAACAGTGAAGAAAAACAGAGTAAAGTGAGAAGAAATGGTACCCGGAGGAAGTGGAGGCGGAAGCAGAGGGTGAAGAAGCTTTAGCCTTTTTCGCCATGTGAGACGTTGGTGCCTCTCAAGTCTCAACTCTGCAACTATAATGTGGTCACGGTTTAACATTCCTCTTTCTTTTTGCTACGTTAAGGATTTAATTTACTTGATTTTTTTAAATTTATGGGCTTAATTGTAACCTTAATTCCTTTATTTACCTTTTTCTTTTTAATTTTAATTCCTCTATTTTAAAAATTATTATTTTAATTTTTTTTTAAATTTTCTTTAATTTTCGTCCCTCCTCAAATTTGATATATTTTTTGATGACTTTATTTATATGTTGAATCCAATTCATTTTAATATTAATATAAAAAAATTATATTTATTTTATATTTACGTTATTGCTTATATAATTTAGTTATTGTTTATTAATTCATCTATTTTAATTGTGATATAATTGAGAAAAATCCTAACCATGTCCCTTTATTTTCGGTGTCTCCATCTTCATTCTCGATCAAATTTTCTTTTCTTTCTCTCTTTCATTTTCACACTTCAAAACTCAAACTCCCTTAATATCTCAACAAAACATAGTCAAATATCAATCACGAAATCATAAAGAAAATGAAAGAGAGAAAATAAAGAAATTAATTGGAGGAGGTGTTGCCAACAGTGGTTTTTGCGGTAGATGAATGGTTTCGTGTAGAGCAATCTAAAACGGAGAGAAGTCGGCGTGGTGGCAGCGGCTTCTACACTGGGTTTCGTGGGCAGTGGCTACTTTAGCGGCGTCGAACTTGTCAGGGAACGATCGGATTGTGTCGGACTCAATTTCTTCTTCTTTTGCTTTCCAATTTTCTATTTGAATGTGTTGTTGTCTGAAACTTTGTTGTTCTATTTTTTTAGAGTATTTTTTGATGTTGTTCAAGGTTATTGATTTGTTTATGTTCATGGTTTGCAATATTGTGATTGTTTAATTTGTCTGAAATAAAGTTTATGTCGGTGGTGGTCTTCGCAGTAGGGACCGTGATTCTTCTTCTTCTGATTGCACTTCTCTAGTTGAATTGTTGATTTATTAAAATGTTTTTATTGTTTATTATTGACAGCTTGTTGATATTGAGTTTGTTTATGCCCTATGTAAAATTTGTAGTTTGAAAATATGTGAAGTTGATTTTGGTTGATTTTGATATTAAGGATTTCTCCAAATTACTATATCATATTAAAATGGATGAATTAAAAAATATTAACTAAAATAATAACGTAAATATGAAATAAATGTAAAAAGAATTTTATTAATATTAAAATGAGTTGGATTTGACACCTAAACAAAATCAGTGTCAAGTCATCAAAAAATACCATCAAATTTGAAGGAGAACGAAAACTAAAGAGAAAATTTAAAAAGGAATAAAATAGTAATTTTTAAAATAAGGGGATCAAAATTAAGAAAAAGACTAAATAGATAGACTAAAATTGTAATTAAGCCATATTTATTATGTACTCCGTCTGTCTCATAAAAGGTACTCCCTCCGTCCCAAAATAAATGTCACATTTAAAAAAAAAATTGTCTCAAAATATTTGTCATTTTAAATTATCAATACAATTTTATATTTAATCTATCAATTATACTCTCTAATAAATGCATTGAATTTATTGTTTTCTCACTTTACATTAATGTTAATCTATTATCTATCTATCTATTATCATTATCAATCTATTAAAAGTAAAGTACCATTAACTTACCATAATACCCTAATTAGTAAATTTCAATTTAGTCTTAATCTAAGGGTATATTTGTAACTTTCTGAAATACTTGCACCATATTGATTTGACAATAAATATGGCTGATGTGTCACACTATGGTTTTTTCTGCCACTTTTTACTTTTTTTAATTATTTCTAACTAACAACAATTATGCCATTTTGTTTATATTTACACGTTATAATCACACTTAATTATGTGCTACATACCACTTCCCAAAACCCTCATCCAAACCAAAGGTCATTCAATTTGAAATTTAAATTAAAACACTCATATTATAGCTGTTACGTACACTGGGTTTTGAAATTCTAATTATTCCACTAAACCCTAATCACGTTTTTTGTTGCAAGATTTAAATTGGCAGCACAAGATGAACAACCATCATAAATGTTGAGTTCTTGAAACGGTAAATCTATACAACCAAAGAAATCGTTTTTCCCAAGATGCAACAAATAACTCATTCACCCAACTCTATTAAAACACAAATTAGAAAACCTAATTTCATCTTCTTACCTAATTTCATCTTCTTCCTGCGCCGCTCAATCTCTTTTCATTCTTCTCTCTTTGTTGCTACCAATTTCGTTTCGTTGTAATCTCAATCATCTAATATTCTCATCCTAACCTGTTAATTTATTTGTTTCAGACGTTCAAGCGTAAGAATGGTGGTCGTAACCAAGACCTCTGAATCTCAACAACATCAATAACCAACAACACCCGTTATAGATCTATAAAAGAATTTCCTTCAAATGCAATTTTTAACATTAATTTGATTCATACATATGTAAGTGACGAAGGTGAGTGATTGAAACATGTGATTGAAAGTTGAAACTGAAATGTAGTTTGGAATATCATATTTTATGTTGTATTCTTTTCGTTTTCAGGGTTGTCTTACTATTTCTCCTTTTCCAAAAAAAAAGAGCTTAACTTGACACCTAAAATAGGATATCTTTATCTTTAGGTTTGAGAGTTGCAGAAGGGGATTTTTGAGCTTGCATGTGACGAACAACACAACCATGATATTGTTTATTTTTTGCTGTTAGGTATGTTTTTTTTATTCAGATTTTATTTCTCAATTTTTTAAATTTTTTAAATTAAAATATGAGGTTGAGTTTTGGCTTTTTTTATTTGTTTAGTCTTGGTGAATACAAAGTTCACACATATATATTTACGATTGATTCTCCAAATAGATAGAAGCTTATTTCTTTTGCTTCCTCTTTCAATTTATTATTAATCTATTTAAATTTCAATTTCTCCCATCACATGTTTGATAAAAGAAGACATTATATTCTCATCAATTTTGTTGTTTATTTTGCTTACTATTATATTTATTTGTATCCAATTGAGATTTTTGTATTTATTTTCTTGATTTAATCGGTTCTTCTTTTGGAATATGTATGGATATGGAGGCTGATAATTGATTTCACACTTGATAGGGGACCAATCAACAAATTGAATAACGGATTGTTTCACAGTTTAATTTTTATACATTGATACGTAAAATGAAATTATGTTGATTGCGATTTGATTTTGTCATGTGAAAACAGGTTTAATATAGTCACAATTTGTCTTAACAAGGAATTATCAAACTTTATCTCATGGTCGATTCAAGCATTTGTTTTCGAGGTTGAAGATAGAGAGGGGATTAGTGGTTCGGCTTATGGGGGTCAACAGGACATCTGTTGCACCAATGATCTTCCTAAACTCACTGTGTGCAATGATGGACAGGGCTGTCACCGGCCTTCTCCCATGAATTCAAATTGGCCTGAAGTTTATGGCATGGCTTTTTATCATGCCCAAGAAATAAACCGTTTGTTTTTAGTTTTAATGCTTTATAATATTATTGTTTGCAGAGTTGTCTTAGCATTTTAAGTGCCAATATTCCCCATGGTCATGGCTGAGTGACCATTTGCTTCTCTAATTTCACAAACAAAAATATTGCTAAAGAAGAATTGGAGACTGCCACAACAGAACCAGAGACCACTATTTTAAATCTACTTAATCGAGTCGATTTTCACATGTGATTCATCATCAAAGCCAAGTGTTAACTTATATTTTCATTCAAGTTATTTGATAGTTAACCTTATAATAGTAAATATACGTTCAATATGGTGCAGATGATTTGATTTCCCGAGCATTTGATTTCCATCTACAGCCGTAATTGAAGATTAGGAAATTGAAACCATTGAATTTTATGCTTCCACAAGGAATATCAATGGCTTTCATTGGCAGGTACTGATTATATACTAATTGTATTTTCTGACAGATAGCAAATGCAAATGTCTCATTGCAATGTTTGGAGGAACTGTTTTTGGAAGAGGAACGAGATTTTGATGAACATGAGGATAGTCAAAGGGATGAAACTCTTATTCACCCGAAGTTCTAAAGTAATATGTTTTTAAGGGTTCAAGAGTAGCGGGTGTTGCTGAAGTTCACTACCAATTTCAGAAGAACCATAAGCAAGGCAATAATTATCTAAGATGTGTAAGATGATAAAACCAACGTTATATGCGATCATTTTCTGGTTCTATAGAAGAATGTTTTTAACAAGATTTGATTCAAATTATGTATATGTATATTATTATTGCTTTCATATTTTGTTTGTCATATCAACATTGGTTTTGGCATAATATATTTTTCTACTGCAAATTATGTTGGCCTATGTTTTAATGGAATTTATTTTACACCAAATTCTGAGTTCTTTTGTATGTAGCATTGCCGAATTTCTCTTCTCCTTCTCTTCTCCTAAAGAGAAGATAATAACCTTCAAGTTGGTGTTGATGTGCCTTCAAAATTCTAATTTATTTTGAATCGAAATTATAATTCTCATTTGTCGTGAAATTTGAATAAAATATTTATTTTTTATTGATATTTTTTTATTTTTAATTGCTATAATTTTAGAAACAAATATTACAATTTTTAATAAAATATTTACGATTTATTTTTTTAAAATACGACTAATTAATATATTTTTATACAATATTAAAAACAAATATTACAATTTTTTAATCAAATATTGGAGTACCATTTAATTCGATACTTTACCAATATATCTTTTGAATTGAGACATTATTATCATTTATTTTTATTATACTTATATGGAAATTATTTTGAATGGTGACATAAATATATTTAATTTTTATATATGATTTGATTCCATAAAATATTATGATCAATAAAATTTGAATTCTCTTTTAATATTATAGGTTTGATACTGTTTCATATTGTAGGAATATTATATACATTAGAATATATAAAGATATGAAAAAAAATTAAATCAAAACTTTACAAATATATCTTTTGAATGGAGGTATTAAT